GATAGATACAGGAGAGACATTTAAATAGATAAGTAGATAAATGGATAGATAAAGATAGATATAGATAGATATACAGAGATAGATAGATAGATAGATAGATAGATAGATAGATAGATAGATAGATAGATATAGAGATATAGATAGAAGATAGATATTAGAGATAGAGAGACAGACAGACAGACAGATAGATTTAAATAGATAAGTAGATAAATGGATAGAGATAGATAGATAGATAGATAGATAGATACATTTAAATAGATAAGTAGATAAATGGATAGATAAAGATGGATATAGATAGATATACAGAGATAGATAGATAGATAGATAGATAGATAGATAGATAGATAGATAGATAGATAGATAGATAGATAGATAGATGATACAGGAGAGACATTTAAATAGATTAGATAAATGGATAGATATAGATAGATAGATAGATAGATAGATAGATAGATAGATAGATAGATAGAAAAGTAGATAGATATTAATCACAGTCCATTTTTGAAAAAAAAGATGGCTTTCCTCTTGAGATCACCCTTCTCCATGAGGACTAGAACCCCTTCTTCTCCCTCTCTTCCTCCTCCTCCTCCTTTCCTGCAACCCAGGGGTGGAGTTGGGGGAGAGCAGAATCCTGCAGCCTCCTGTTCAACAGGTGAAGATCAACACATGCACCTCAGTCCATTTTGGCTGGACTCCCAATCCAATCCAGAAGCATCCGGCCACTGCCAGAACTTGCGTGCCCAGGGCGGCACCCCTCCCTCACCAGCTCCCCCACCCCACCCGGATCGGTCGGTCGCCGCCTGGATGCCCTTTGCTTGGCTCCAGGACTGTCTGTTTGCCAGGAGGGAAGGGAGGGGCAGGTGCTGATGGGCTCAGTTTACCTTGGCGACCGTTGCTTAGGAGCCTGCCCCAGGTCGCCGGGCAACGGTTGCCAAGGAAGATTGTTGCCCTGGCCCAGCCAGGCCTCCCGTGAGCCAGGAGGCGGCTGCAGGCCAGCATGGCGTCCACTTCGGTGCTGGTCAACCGGGAGGAGACGGGAGGGGTGGCCACGGGCACCTACTCGTACTGCAGCCAGCCCCGGGCATTGCCCAACCGCCAGCGGTACCGGACGACCCTGGAGGCCAATGAGCTGTGAGTACCAGCCAGGCCAAGGGCAGCCCTGGAGGGTCTCCAGCCAGCAGGGAGGTCTCCAGTTGCCCCCAAGGCTCTCCAGATGGGAGGCAGGGAGGGTGGGGTGTTGCCCCCCCCCTCTGCGGGTAACGGCAATGCCCTGGCATTGCTCCTCCTGCTTTGATCTCTCTCCTCCCTCCCCCTACTCAGCTCCAGACAGGGGTCCCCAAATCCAAGGAGAAACCCACCCACCCCGTCCTCTTGGCTCTTGTCCCAGCCAAACTACACGCCCGGGAGTCTTCCGGGCACAGGTGTGGGGTCCAGCATCCCTTTGGAAGGTGGGAGATGCCCGCTCGCTCAAACCATTTGCAGCAAAGCAAAGACCCACGCCCCTTTCCAACACCCCGTTTCTCTCCCCCTTCCCCAAAGCCTAAAGAGCATCGAATGGTCCGGTTTGTATAGTTTCATCTCCTCTGTTAAGACCCCCCCTTGGGTTCTGGGTTCGATTTCAGAAAGGGCTCGGCCATCCCAAAAGTGGTTGAGTCCCAGGAACTGCCCTGGATGAGCCTAGACACACACACACACACGCACACAAAGCAGCATTTTCAGCACAGACCTTTTGCCTTCTTCCTGGAGCTGGGAGGGGGGGGGAGATGGGGCCAAAGTTCCCCCCACCCCACCCCAAGCTGACTTTGTCCCTAAGGCAGGACTCGAACTCAACGTCTGCCCGTTTCTAGGCTGGGTGTCTTAACCACGAGAGCAAACGGGCTTTCTTTGGCTGAAAATTATCTACCTGCAGGGGCACCACAGACCAACCAGAATTACTAACAGAATGATAGTTTTGGAAGGGACCTTGGAGGTCTTCTAGTCCAACCCCCTGCTCAAGCAGGAGACATCCCAGACAAATGGCTGCCTAGTCTCTTCTTAAAAACCTCCAGTGATGGAGCAACCCATGACGTCTGGTGGCAAGCCGTTCCGCTGGTTAATTGTCCTCGCTGTCAGGAAATTTCTCCTTAATTCCTGGTTGCTTCTCTCCTTGATTAGTTTCCATCCGTCACTTCTTATCCTGCCTTCAGGGGCTTTGGAGAATAGGTCAACCCCCACCTTCTTTGTGGCAGCCCCTCAAATATTAGAAAACTGCTATCATGTCACCCCTCTTAGCAAGCATCTTTTTCTGCTTTTACTTCACCCCAAAAAGCAGTCTTTTGCAACCTCAGCAACTTGGAAGAGGGATGGACTTCAACTCCCAGAATTCCCCAGCCTGTGTGCTGGCTGGAGAACTCTGGGAGCTGGAATAGAATAGAATAGAATAGAATAGAATAGAATAGAATATCTTTATTGTCATTGTGTAACTCACAATGAAAATAAGTGCTATCCACAGTGCACACTACACACACGTGACAACCACAAATAACAACATGCATTATATACACACATCCTTCATACTCTATTCACCCTTGCGCTGCCCCTAATATTGCACCTCAATGTCGCACTATCCTTCCTTCCTTCCTTCCTTCCTTCCTTCCTTCCTTCCTTCCTTGCTTCCTTCCTTCCTTCCTTCCCAAAGTATATGCAGTTCGTCCAAGTGGGGGGGGGGAGAGGGCAGCCAATAATCCTCTGGACGATGGTAATGACCCCCTGGAGCCCTTTCCTATCTGCTACTGTGCAGTTGGCAACCTACACACAAATGCAATGAGTTGGTGAAGTTGACAAACCCTGCCTTAAATGCTAAGACGTCAATCCGGGGTATTTTTCGCACCACTCCCCTTAAGCCCCATTTGTCTCTCTCCCAGTTGGCATCGTATGAGGTCCAACTCCTAGTAACTGATGTATTTCCTTGGATTTGGGCAGCCTTCTGGTGGTATATAAGTCTCATAAATAAATAAATAAATAAACACAAAGAAACTATTTTCCATCTCCTCGTTAACGTTGTCTTTCATTTCATTTATTTCAGGGAGGAGGAGCCCGTTCGCTATGCCAATCTCATGTACGAGCGGAGAGTGGTCCGTGGCAACACGTATGCCCTCCATGTGTTACCTTGGGTGGGTCCTTCTTCCCTAACATTTTTCTTTTAATCAGTTTTAAATTAGGCATGCTCAGAAGATAGAAAATGTTTGGAACAATCCCTTAAATATGAGCCAGCAGTGTGCTGCAGCAGCCAAAAAGGCCAACACAATGCTGGGCTGCATTAACAGAGGGATAGGATCAAGATCACGTGAAGTGTTAATACTACTTTACAAGGCCTTGGTAAGGCCACCCTTGGAATACTGTGTCCAGTTTTGGTCACCACGATGTAAAAAAGAGGTTGAGACTCTGGAAAGAGTGCAGAGAAGAGCAACAAAGAGGATCAGGGGACTGGAGGCTGAAACATATGAGGAACGGTTGCTGGAATTGGGTCTGTCTAGTTTAACGAAGAGAAGGACGAGGGGGGACATGATAGCAGTGTTCCAATATCTCAGGGGCTGCCCCAAAGAAGAGGGAGTCAAGCTATCCTCCAAGGCGCCTGAAGGCAGGACAAGAAGCAACGGGTGGAAACTCATCAAGGGGAGAAGCAACCTAGAACTAAGGAGAAACTTCCTAATAGTGAGAACAATTAACCAGGGGAACCACCTGCCTCCAGAAGCGGTGAATGCTCCAACACTGGAAGTTTTTAAGAAGAGACCGGACAGCCATTTGTCCGAAATGGAATAGGGTTTCCTGCCTGAGCAGGGGGTTGGACTCGATGACCTCCAAGGTCCCTTTCAACTTTATTATTATTATTATTATTATTATTATTATTATTACTACTACTACTACTACTACTACTACTACTACTACTATTATTATATGGAAGGGTGTTTCTAAACTGTGGTAACGCTAAGATGACAACTTTGATTTCATTGCTTTTTTACCCAAAGGTTCTTTTTTTTCCAGGAGACAACTGGACTTCTTTGTTTTTCCTTGAAGACGTTTCGCTTCTCATCCCAGAAGCTTCTTCCGCTCTGACTGGATGGTGGGGAAGGGAAGGACTGATACTCCTTGCAGACCGCTGGTCATTTGAATCCTTTGAGAGAGCTGTTGAGGCCACTTGGACCCTGAGGACACAGACAAACCTCCAAGTGGCCTCAACGACTCTCTAGAAGGCAAATGACCAGCTGTCTGCAAGGTGCATAAATCCTTCCCTACCATCCGGTAAGAGCCGAAGAAGCTTCTGGGATGAGAAGCGAAAGTCTTCAAAGAAAAAAACAAGGAAGTCCAATTGCCTTTTGCAAAAGCACCTTTAGAAAAAAGTGTGACTTGGATGACTGAGCATCTCCATCGACATTGACTTCTTAACCTTTGCACAAACGGCTGCTTTCTCTAGTTGTCGCCTCGTTGTTGCATGGAAGAGTGCTGGGGACCCCCCGCAAACTTTGCCTGGGCTGAGGGGATCCCCTATTTTAGGAAGGCTTTGAAATAAACCAGCCAAGGAGGCCTAAAGACCTTGGGGACTGGGGAATTCTGGGAGTTGAAATTCAGCCATTTTTTAAAAAAAAAAACCTGGTGGAAGTTATTGTCATAAAATGGGAACCAGGCGCTGTGCGCCTAATTGCTGCCAAAGGGTTATGCATTACAGTTAGTCCCCGACTTTAAAAAGCCCATTTAGTGACCGTTCAAAGTTACCACAGCGCTGAAAAAAGGGACTTGTGAACATTTTTCACACTTGCCCCCCTTTGCGGCATCCCCGCGGTCACGGGGTCAAAATGCAGACACTTGGCAACTGACCCATACTTATGATGGTTGTCGGTAAGTGGCAGACTCATCCATTTGCAACCAGGTGCCCACCAGATGTTTTAGATATTTAACATCCACTACTACCAGCCAAATCCTGTGGGGGGGGGTAAAAGATACCCCCACCCAATGCATGTGGCAGCTGTATTTTCTCAGCCCTAGGAGATCGCCCACTCCCCAAATGATAATCGCTTGAATTGCCCTTTTAATAAAATCTATGCCAACTTGAATTTTAACCCTGAATGGCAACAGGAGGAGGAATCAGACTGACACAGGTAAGTTCTCGACTTACCTCCAGGTTAGGAAACATCTTTGGAACTCCCCGAAACTTGACAACACGGTTGTGGGTTGGCTTTCCAGAGCAGTGAGCCCGACCCGCTGGAGCTGCAGCGGCAGCGTGAAGCCCATCGGAAGATGCTGGCGAGGCAGAGGGCGAAGGAGCAGCTGCGGACCAGGACTCCAGAACCCCTGGAGGGAAGACGCCACGTGGACGTGCAGACAGGTAAAGTAGAATTCAATCACATTTAGAGAAGAAAAAACAAATGTGCAGGTATAGTATAGGGCAGTGGTTCTCAACCTTTTTAATGCCGCGACCCCCGACCGGTCGTAAGTCAAGGACTACTCAACCGGTCGTAAGTCGAGGACTACTCAACGGGTGCAGCACCGTTTGCAGAATGGGACTTTTGGCGGGCTCAGCAGGGCAGAGACAGCCTGGACCATTCCTATTGGCTTTGGAAGGCCAATAGAATTAGACTCTATTCAAGAGAATCCATTCTATTGGCTTTCAAAAGCCAATTGAATAAAAGGGAGTAGCACAGCCAAGGAAAAGGGGGGGAAAATGGTGGACTGCGTTGTTTGGCGACCCCCGTGAAATGGTCGTTCGACCCCAAATGGGGTCCCGACCCACAGGTTGAGAACCACTGGTATAGGGGGTACCTTGCTCAATAGTAGTAACTGTGAGAGGGACCTCGGAGTCCTAGTAGACAATCACCTAAATATGAGCCAGCCGTGTGCTGCAGCTGCCAAAAAGGCCAACACAATGCTGGGCTGCATTAACAGAGGGATAGAATCAAGATCACGTGAAGTGTTAATACCACTTTACAAGGCCTTGGTAAGGCCACACTTGGAATCCTGCATCCAGTTTTGGTCACTGCGATGTAAAAAAGATGCTGAGACTCTAGAAAGAGTACAGAGAAGAGCAATAAAGATGATTAAGAGACTGGAGGCTAAAACATACAAAGAACGGTTGCTGGAATTGGGTATGTCTAGTTTAACGAAGAGAAGGACGAGGGGGGACAGGATAGCAGTGTTCCAGTATCTCACGGGCTGCCCCAAAGAAGAGGGAGTCAAGCTATTCTCCAAAGCGCCTGAAGGCAGGACAAGAAGCAATGGGTGGAAACTAATCAAGGAGAGAAGCAACCTAGAACTAAGGAGAAACTTCCTGACAGTGAGAACAATTAACCAGTGGAACAACCTGCCTCCAGAATCAGTGAATGCTCCAACACTGGAAGTTTTTAAGAAGAGACTGGACAACTATTTGTCTGAAATGGTCTAGGGTTTCCTGCCTGAGCAGGGGGTTGGAGCAGATGATCTCTAAGATCCATTCCAACTCTATTATTATTGTTGTTGTTGTTGTTTTAATCATTATTGTTATCATTATTATCTCCTTGTCCTCAGCATTGTGGGATGGGCAGCAAAGAAAGCTGTTGCTGATCATCTTTATCCTGCTTGAGAAGAATGGAAAGGTGTGTGTGTGTGTGTGTGCGTGTGTGCATGTGTGCACGCGCGCGCCATCCTCTTGCCATTCCCTCTTTTGGCATTCCTTCCTCTTCCTTCCCCACCCCAGCAAAAACTGGATGACGCAGCTCCCCCTCCGCAGGGCGCCTTCGTTTGTGATGGCCTGAGTTGTGATCCGCAAAAGAGCATCCACGCAAGTCAAACCTTGCCAATTATATATTCCCACTGCAATTTTTCCTGTGAAATTCCTCTGAGGCAGCAAAGTGTCTCAACAGAATAACAGAATAAGTCAAGGACTATCTGCAAAGAACAGAACAGAATAGAATTAGAACAGAACAGGACAGGACAGAATAGAATAGTTGGAAGGGACCTTGGAGGTCATCTAGTCCAACCCCCTGCTCAGGCAGGAAACCCTATACCGTTTCAGACAAATGGCTGTCCAGTCTCTTCTTAAAAACTTCAGTGTTGGAGCATTCACCGCTTCTGGAGGCAGGTTGTTCCACTGGTTAATTAATAATAATGATAATAAAGTTGGAAGGGACCTTGGAGGTCATTGAGTCCAACCCCCTACTCAAGCAGGAAACCCTATACCATTTCGGACAAATGGCTGTCCAGTCTCTTCTTAAAAACCTCCAGTGTTGGAGCATCCACCGCTTCTGGAGGCAGGTTGTTCCACTGGTTAATTGTTCTCACTGTCAGGAAGTTTCTCCTTAGTTCCAGGTTGCTTCTCTCCTTGATTAGTTTCCATCCATTGCTTCTTGTCCTGCCTTCAGCTGCTTTGCAGAATAGCTTGACACCCCCTCCTCTTTGCAGTGCCTGAACAGGAACGCATTTACGCTGAATGGGAAGGGCCAGGTGTAAGAGCTCTCCCAATGCAATTTCAGAATTGTACCTGGAGGAGCTGGCGGACCGTGTCATCGAGGTGGACGTGGAATGTCAGACGGATGCCTTTCTGGACCGCCCGGCCACCCCACTCTTCATCCCTGCGAAGACTGGCAGAGACGTGGCCACCCAGATATGGGAAGGAGAGGTACCCATTTCAGACAACTGCTGTCACACCGGCCACAACTTAAACCTCTACGTGGAAATGAGCCTTAGCTGCATTTGTTGAGGAAGGTGTAGTTCCGCGGTGGGATTCAGCCGGTTCCCACCACTTCGGCAGAACCGGTAGCTAATTTTTTTGTTGCCCAGGCCCAGAACGGACTTCCGGAAGCGGCATCCACACAGAGAATCGGTTGTTCACCTATTTGAATCCCACCACTGGTGTAGTTTATTAGAGGTATTGCAGTAATGCAAAGCCCGAACTATCCCTAAGTTCTAGTTTTGTCCCTCCAACCCCTCCCTCGCTGCCCACCGTACCGTAACCCATCGCGTCCATGCAAGATGTTTTCTTAACAGTCAGTCTGAGCTCAGCTTGGTATGCGGCTCCCTCCTTCTTCCAGCTGGGTGACCTTGAGGCAGCATCTCGAGCAGATTCAGCACTTACTTTCGGTTTCCCCAATCATCCATTCCCGCTCCATTCCCTCTCCCCACAGTTCATGGCAGTCTCTCACCGCATAATAGTAAAAGACAGCAAGCATAAGGTGGCACCTGACAACTGCACCCTCCAAAAAAAGCCAGGATGGGCCTTTGATGAAACCACCATTCTTGGCCCAGCCTAATTTTTGGATAGAGGAAGTTCAAGGGCATGTAGAAAACTAGCATGTCAAGGAAAAGGTAACCGTAGAGCTGTTTTCTTTAACGAGCTCCTTGTCGTTATGCAGAGATGTGCTGGACCAGTGTAACTCTGGCCAGAGCATATATTAGCTTCTGTATGTTAGAATGTTTGGCATTTAAAGGGTTAAACGCTGTTTCCTTAAGGTATGGCTGATGAGTAATGTAGTTCTAGCTGTTAGTTAATGTTATGTGGGAGGAGTTTCAAAGTTTACGACTGTACTTCCTGGCGTTATGCCTTTTGTATTATCTCTGCATGGCTCCGTGCCAACATGTGATTCTACACAGGACGGAGGAATTCACTATTTCTTTACTATTCCGGAACCATGAACTAAGATGCCTTGTAGTTTTGGTCCGGACAGCATAAACTCTATGGGGATGAACAATATCCTAATGATTCAGATATATCTTCTACAAAGTAAGTCTCTGCTAAGAATTCCTGGAAATAAATATTGTTTTAAAAATCATCCTCATTGAGTTTATGCTGTCCAGACCAAAACTACAAGGCATCTTAGTTCATGATTCCGGAATAAGAGATGATGCCAAAAGCAAAGGGGTAGTTCTCACCTCCAGTGGTAGAGAGTTCCACAGGGATGGGGCCACAGCAGAAAAGGTCCTTCTCCTTGAACCTGCCTGCTGAGATCCCTTAGGAAATAAATATAAATAATGAAATAATAAACAATTCCTTATTGATGACTGGTTGCCGATTGGCCTTCGACGCCTTCTGCAATCTCCTCTGCTGTCTTCCCCAGAAAGTCAGTGGGGAAGCCAGCAGGAAAGTTGGCCAGGGGAAGGGGCTTCGGATTTGAGGTCCATTCTCTCAGACCACCAAAGGATTCCCTCTCCCCTCCACGCAGAGAGGCTAAAATCTTCCCGTGCGCTGGAAGAACAGATCTCCAATCTAGCAAAATCACGAGCCAACCCCATTGTCCCAAAAGTGCTTTTTTTCCCAAATGGCAACTGGACTTTCGTGGGTTTTTTCTTTTTTCTTTGTAAACATTTCACTTCTCCTGCAAGAAGCTTCTTCAGTTCTGAATGAGAACTGAACTCAAGAAGCTTGTTGGATGAGAAGCAAAATGTTTTCAAAGAAAAAGAACAACAAGAAAGCCCAGTTGTTGTTGTTGTTAGTTGCGAAGTCGTGTCCGACCCATCACGACCCCATGGACAATGTTCCTCCAGGCCTTCCTATCCTCTACCATCTTCTGGAGTCCATTGAAGCTCAGGCCTCCTGCTTCAGTGACTCCATCCAGCCACCTCATTCTCTGTCGTCTCCTTCTTCTCTTGCCCTCCATCTTTCCCAGCATCAGGCCCTTCTCCAGTGAGTCCTTCCTTCTCATTAGGTGGCCAAAGTACTTGAGTTTCAACTTCAGGATCTGGCCTTCTAAAGAACAGTCAGGGTTGATCTCCTCTAGGACTGACCAGTTTGTTCGCCTTACAGTCCAGGGGACTCGCAGGAGTCTTCTCCAGCACCAGAGTTCAAAGGCCTCCATTCTTTGACGCTCAGCCTTTCTTATGGTCCAACTTTCACATTGCAACTGGGAAAACCATGGTCTGGACTATACACACTTTTGTTGGCAGGGTGATGTCTCTGTTTTTTACTATGCTGTCTAGATTTGCCATAGCTTTCCTCCCCAGGAGCAAGCGTCTTTTAATTTCTTGGCTGCAGTCCCCATCTGCGGTGATCGTGGAGCCCAGGAAGATAAAATCTGTCACTACCTCCATTTCTTCCCCATCTATTTTCCAGGAATTGAGAGGGCCGGATGCCATGATCTTGGTTTTCTTAATGTCCAGTTGCCATTTGGAAAAAAGTCTCACCTGGATGGCGGAGCATTGAGCAAATACTATTGTTCTCACATTCGTTGTCCCCTGTAAAATGGGGATGGGGCTTAAGTGTTGTGGGGAGGCCTGGGCCTTCTCCCCACCCCACCATGCCAGGAGGCCTAAGCCCCCTCCCCAGAAGCTCCACTTAAAGACCCATGCGGTCGCTTAATAACTGCAACTGGAAAAGCCACGATTGCAATCGTTGCGCGAAGGAATCCCAAGACCGCTTTTTGCTCAATGACGAGATTCTGGTCGTAAATGGAAGATTAACTATACCTGCTTTCCATTGTGTTTTTAGACAGCCTAATGGGGAAGACGATTCTCTGGAGATTTTTGCAGAAACTTTTTTTTGGGGGGGGGGAATTTTTGCAGAAAACGATCCCCAGAAGTCTCCCCTCCATCGAATAAATTTTCCCCGCTTCCGGTTTGTTTTCCCTCCCGCAGCTTTTCAATTTTGATATCGAAGTCAAGCCCATGCTTGAGGTTTTGGTGGGCAAAACGATTGAGCAGGCTTTGCTGGAGGTGATGGAAGAAGAGGAACTGGCCAATCTGCGGGCGCACCAGTACGCCTTCCTTGAAATGCGGGCGGCGGAACTCGCTGAGGTCCAGCGCCTTGAAGAGCAGGAGAGGAGACACCGAGAAGAAAAGGTACACACGGGCCGGGGAGAAAGAGAGCAGAGTCTTTTTACAGGCAGTCCTCGACTCACAGCAGCTTAGTGACCGTTCCCGGTTACGACGGGACTTGCACCCATTTCTCACACCTACGACCGTCGCAGCAGCCTCCAGATCACGTGATCAAAGTTCAGGAGCTCGGCAATCGACTCGTGTTTAGGACGGTTGCAGTGTTCTGGGATCACGTGACCTTCTGACCAGGAAGCCAAATTTACTGAATAACCGTGTCACTAACTTCACAGCTGCAGTGATTCATTTAACGACCGTCGGAAGCGAGGTGGTAAAATGGGGCAAAACTCACTTGACAAGTGTCTCACTTAGTAACACCCATTTTGGGCTCAGCTGTAGCCATTAAGAGAAATATCTGGAATTTGGGAGAGCAGGAAAATGCTATTATGGATCAGAAGATTCCCATGGGAAGGATTTCAGGCCGATCCTGGGTGGGATCAGGGCCTAAAGCAGGGGCAGGCAACCTGGGCTCTTTTATGACTCGTGGACTTCAACTCCCAGAATTCCTGAGCCAGCATGGGGGAAACTTTGGCCCCTTCATGACTCGTGGACTTCAACTCCCAGAATTCCTGAGCCAACATGGGGGAACTATGGCCCCCTCATGACTCTTGGACTTCAGCTCCCAGAATTCCTGAGCCAGCATGGGGGAACTATGGCCCCCACATGACTTGTGGACTTCAACTCCCAGAATTCCTGAGCCAGCATGGGGGAACTATGGCCCCCTCATGACTCGTGGACTTCAACTCCCAGAATTCCTCAGCCAGCATGGGGGGAACTATGGCCCCTTCATGACTCGTGGACTTCAACTCCCAGAATTCCTCAGCCAGCATGGGGGGAACTATGGCCCCTTCATGACTCGTGGACTTCAACTCCCAGAATTCCTCAGCCAGCATGGGGGAACTGTGGCCCCCTCATGACTCGTGGACTTCAACTCCCAGAATTCCTCAGCCAGCATGGGGGGAACTATGGCCCCTTCATGACTCGTGGACTTCAACTCCCAGAATTCCTCAGCCAGCATGGGGGGAACTATGGCCCCTTCATGACTCGTGGACTTCAACTCCCAGAATTCCTCAGCCAGCATGGGGGGAACTATGGCCCCTTCATGACTCGTGGACTTCAACTCCCAGAATTCCTCAGCCAGCATGGGGGGAACTATGGGCCCTTCATGACTCGTGGACTTCAACTCCCAGAATTCCTCAGCCAGCATGGGGGGAACTATGGGCCCTTCATGACTCATGGACTTCAACTCCCAGAATTCCTGAGCCAGCCTGGCTCAGTATGGAAACCTCTCCCTTTCCCCTCAGCATGGCTGGCTCAGGAATTCTGGGAGTTGAGGTCCACGATTCATAAAAGAGCCAAGGTTGCCTAACCCTGGCCTAAAGGGGCAGCACTTCCCCTCCCCACTCCCACTGCTAGTTCTCGGTTTGACGGTCAGTGCCGGTCATCTCTTGACCCAAACTGGTCCTTGGCAGTTGGTGGAAGTGCCAACTTGCAAAGCTTACAGGAAGTCGAGGTGGAGCTATTTTTCTAATCAGTACGTGGAACCTCCATCCTTAGGAGCAATCCACAGCAGTTTCTGGGAGGGGGGAAAAAGAAGCAAAGCAAAGGGCACCCCTTTTACAGCCCTTGGTGGTTGCCGCTTTGCCTTATGAAAGCAGCCGTCTCTCCATCGTCAATAAGGCTGTGTGGTGCTTAGGATCCCAACACTGCAAGTGAGGCTAGGAATGTGCGCCCCACACCCACCAGCGAGCCCCTTTTTCCCACTTTCCCAGTCACCCAACTGTAGGAAGGATGCGGCTGCTTTAAGGTGTTTCTTCTTCTTCTTCTTCTTCTTCTTCTTCTTCTCCTCCTCCTCCTCCTCCTTCTTCTTCTTCTTCCTCTTCCTCTTCCTCTTCTTCCTCTTCCTCTTCCTCTTCCTCTTCCTCTTCTTCTTCTTCTTCTTCTTCTTCTTCTTCTCCATCTCCATCTCCATCTCCTTCTTCTCTCCTCCCCCTCCTTCTCCTTCTCCTCCCCCTCCTTCTCCTTCTCTCTCTCCTTCTCCCTCTCCTCCCTCTCCTCCTTTCTCCTCCTCCTCCTCCTCCCCCCATTTCTGGTGTTGCTATGTAAGAGACTGGCAAACTCCACTGCATCTTTCAGGGGCTGGAATCCAAGCCCCCCTGTGGCTGGTGCTGCAAGGCAGCTCTTCTCAAAAGCCTATCAGGAGGTCTTGACCCTCTCCACACTCAGGACGCTTCCTGATGTTCGAACACAAGTGCCACCGGGTTCCTCCGAGGATCTGTGTTTCTCAGCTTTTGGACGTACGGACTTCATCTCTTAGACTTCCCCAGCCAGCAAGGAAGCCGAGGTGGCGCAGCAGTTAGAGTGCAAGTACTGCAGGCCACTTTAGCTGACTGTGTTCAGCAGGTCAGCGGTTCAAATCTCACCGGCTCAAGGTTGACTCCGCCTTCCATCCTTCCGGGGTAGGTCAAATGAGGACCCAGATTCTTGGGGGCAACGTAAATATATACAGACATTGCTTATTGGTGTACACCGCTTAGAGAGTGCTTGCCCTTAAAGCGGTATATAAGTCTCATAAATAAATAAATAACTCTGGGAGTGGAAGTCCAGATGCCTGAAAGGTACCAAGCTTGAGAAACATTGCTCCAGACTGGATCGCAATCCGGAGAACGTTGCCCCTGGTACGCCAGGAACTTCCGTTGAGCAGGGCCAGCGTAGATAGGAAGCCGACCAGGGGATGCCTTGGGAAGGGGCCTGGAATGCCAGCCCCTCCCCCTTTCAAGGTCTGGGAATGAGCCGAGGTGGCGCAGCAGTTAGAGTGCAAGTACTGCAGGCCACTTTAGCTGACTGTGTTCAGCAGGTCAGCGGTTCAAATCTCACCGGCTCAAGGTTGACTCAGCCTTCCATCCTTCCGGGGTAGGTCAAATGAGGACCCAGATTGTTGGGGGCAACGTAAATATATATATATATACATTGCTTACTGATGTACACCGCTTAGAGAGTGCTCGCACTTAAAGCGGTATATAAGTCTCATAAATAAATAAATAAATGACAGAGGGGAGACGTTAAACATGGAAACAGGGAAGAACGCCTCCGGAGTGGTCAGTTCTAGTCCAAGGGGAGTCAGCTGGCAAGGGCAGGAATGGCTGAAGAGCCAGTTGGACACCGCGAGGGAGCGGCGGCTGCACCATCCATCTCCTTTCCTCTGCAGGAACGCCGTAAAAAGCAGCAGATGGAAATCCTGCAGAAGGAGAAAGAAACGGCAGAGAAGATCGCCGCTCGCACCTTCGCCCAGCGCTATCTTTCAGATCTCATCCCGTCCGTCTTCGGCAGCCTTCGGGACAGTGGATACTTCTACGATCCGGTGGAAAGAGGTGCTGGGGAGGGGGGGGGAGAGGGTTCCTTGGGTCAGTGCTGGGAATTGGCTACCTGACTGTAGAATTGGAAAAGGCCCAGCTTGAAGTCTTTTGTGCTTTGACATCTTGATTTAATCCCCAATGCTAGCACAGGCGGAGGGACCGGTCAGTTTCAACCTTTTCCTTTCGCAGAATTCAAAATTGTCTCATTTCTCCATCTGTAAATTCAGTTCATCCCATTCCTACGAGTGTTTTTTGTTTGTTTTTTTAAGGAAAAAGCTTGCACTAGGAAAGTCTGCCAGGGGGTGGTGGTCAAAAAAGTCAAGTGTCAGCTATCTCACTAGCAGACCTCAAGGCGTTTAAGTCCCATCAGGTTAAAACTTTATTGGGTACAGCATTTCAGAACTGAAGAAGCAAAGCCAGCTCTGAGTTTTCCCACGTGAAGCGAGCTTAGTTAAAAAATAGATTCCCACCCACCAGGTATTCACATTGTCCAGTCGTACTGTTTCTTTTGTTATGGGAACACTTCACTTCTCCATCAAGCACCTGCGGCAATGGCCTTGAAGTGGGGCAGGCTCTCACGGTCCGTGAACGGCTTTCTTGCAAATTCCATTCCCTCCGTTTTCTACCCCTACCCCCTTTTCTATGGCAAAATGATGACACTAGCAGGCATCGTAGCAATTCAGTCTGGACCTCAAGATTTTGTTTATTTTATTTATTAAATTTATAGGCCTTCCACCTTGCCTAGTGTTAAATTGGAAACTGAAGTAAGATCCCACAACCAAGAGGTTACATAGAACCCCCCCCCCATTTCTGCACCATTCTGGGCCAGTTGAATTTCCTGACAGTGAGAACAATTAACCAGTGGAACGACTTGCCACCAGACGTTGTGGGTGCTCCAACACTGGAGGGTTTTAAGAAGAGGCTGAAATGTGGCAGGGTCTCCCGCTTGAGCAGGGGGTTGGACTAGAACAGTGGTTCTCAACCTTTTTAATGCCGCGACCCCCAACTGGTCGTAAGTCGAGCACTACTCAACCGGTCATAAGTCGAGGACTACTCAACGGGTGCAGCCCCGTTTGCAGAATGGGAATTTTGGCGGGTTCAGCAGGGCAGAGACAGCCTGGACAATTCCTATTGGCTTTTGAAAGCCAATAGAATTAGACTCTATTCAAGAGAGTCTATTCTATTGGCTTCCAAAAGCCAATAGAATAAAAGGGAGTAGCACAGCTAAGGAAAAGGGGTAAAAAAATGGCAGACTGCGTTGTTTGGCGACCCCCGTGAAATGGTCGTTCGACCCCAAATGGGGTCCCGACCCACAGGTTGAGAACCACTGGACTAGAACAACGGTCCCCAATCTTTGTGGCTTGGTGGCCCAGCTGGGGGGGGGAGGGAGAGGGGAACCAGGCCACTTAGGCAGCAGGCCGGCGTGCACATGCATGCGCAACTCAACTTGTGTGAGCAGCAGGCCAGCATGCATGCAACACATACCCCCAGCTCGACTGCAAGTTGAGCTGTGCATACGTGCACGCCAGCCAGCGGCCCGGTTGCAAATAGCCCACAGCCTGCTAGTGCGCTGCACCCCGCGGGTTGGGGGACCTCTGGATTAAATCAGTGGAACCTCTGTTCCACTGATTAATTGTTCTCACTGTCAGGAACTAAGGAGAAACTTCCTGACAGTGAGGACAATTAACCAATGGAACAGCCTGCCTCCAGAAGCAGTAAATGCTCCAACACTGGAAGTTTTTCAGAAGAGACTGGACAGCCATTGGTCCGAAATGGTGTAGGGTTTCCTGCCTGAGCAGGGGGTTGGACTAGATGACCTCCAAGGTCCCTTCCAACTTTACTACTATTACTATTACTAAAAGATCTCCAAGGTCCCTTCCAGTCTGTGATTCTGTTATTCTGCAGAGTCTGCTTTGTCCTTATGTGGCAATTGGTGATGGGGGAGTGGGGATGGATGGCAGAGGATTGGTGACATCCCTGTACACATTACATCACAACAGGGGTAACTTCATCACAGCTGTTGCTGGAGGGGTTGAGCTCCTTGGTGGTCTGTGGGTCAATGGAGGATGTGCTCCTGGCTACTTTCCTTCGTGAACAGAGGCAAGCTCAATTGAGAATAGCCAAGAGTCCGTGAAGGCCTTTTGTTTCGCTTATTTGCAGGGGTTCTCAACCTTGGCAACTTTAAGACGTGTGGACTTCAACTCCCAGAATTCCTCAGCCAGCAAAGCTGGCTGAGGAATTCTGGGAGTTGAAGTCCACACGTCTTAAAGTTGCCAAGGTTGAGAACCCCTGGTTTATTGCAATAAGCGGGGAGAGAAGTTATCAAAACTTGGTTCTCTCCAAAGTTCCAACCCAAAATATTCCCTTCTTTTATACGACTCTGCCCCGGCCGCCATAGCCTTCCTTGTTCCCCATTGGCTGAGGCACTGTGAGGTTACACGCTTCCCGACCGCTTCCTGCATATTTCCTGCTACCTTCCTTAAACATGCTTCACATGTACATTAATAATATAAGCTATTAGACATATTCAATTGCTTGTTTTGAGTTCTGGGGATATTTTACAGCTCCTTAGAACAATAGGTTCTTTCCTGTGTTTCAGTTTAATCTGCCTTTCCAGTTATCCCATTCAGCTAATTTTCCCTGGCTAGCCATATAATAGTAGTAGTAGTAGTAGTAGTAGTAGTAGTAGTAGTAGTAGTAATAATAATAATAATAATAATAATAATAATAATAATAAAAAGTTGGAAGGGACCTTGGAGGTCATCTAGTCCAACCCCTTGCTCAGGCAGGAAACCCTATACCATTTTGGACAAATGGCTGTCCAGTCTCTTCTTAAAAACTTCCAGTGTTGGAGCATTTACTGCTTCTGGAGGCAGGCTGTTCCACTGGTTAATTGTTCTCACCGTCAGGAAGTTTCTCCTTAGTTCCAGGTTGCTTCTCTCCTTGATCAGTTTCCACCATTGCTTCTTGTCCTGCCTTCAGGTGCTTTGGAGAATAGCTTGACTCCCTCTTCTTTGGGGCAGCCCCTGAGATACTGGAAGACTGCTATCCTGTCCCCCCTCGTCCTTCTCTTCATTAGACTAGACATCCCCAATTCCAGCAACCGTTCCTTATATGTTTTAGCCTCCAGTCCCCTAATCATCTTTGTTGCTCTTCTCTGTACTCTTTCTAGAGTCTCAACCTCTTTTTTACATCGTGGTGACCCAAACTGGTTGCCGTATTCCAAGTGTGGCTGTTTTTTTACAGCCTGTGTTCTTCCTTTTCCCACTCTGGCTCATTTTTGCCTACGTGTCTATCTTACATCCTCCCTTTATGCTACCATTTCCTGGTTCCCTATTGCAGTTTCTTGGACAGGTTTGTTTCTCCACTCAGTGAGGTTTCCCCTCCACAGCAGATTCAGTTTTAAATTTTGAAGACCTTTCATTCACTTCTATCAGGCGGGCACCATACCGGCCAGGGATGATGGGCCTTGCAATGGTGACACCTGCTTTTTTACCTCCCCCCCCCCCCAGACATCGAGACGGGCTTCATCCCATGGATAATGGGCAAGATGGAGAGGCTGCTGGAGAGAAGGTCCCTTGGACGAATCATTGCTGACAGTAAGTGAGAGTACGGTCTCCCAACCATTGGGCTGTGAGGGGCCGTCACATGTTGTCCAAAGAAGACAAGGACCCTCTCCCTTAACTGACTCAGTAAATACAGTGTTGGGCTGGGCTGGGCCCCCACCCCCACCCCTAGCCCAGCCTTGGCAGTGCATCGCCTGATCTTTGGGCAGGAGGAGGTAGCTGGCACCGGGTTGCTCCAGAGTCAGCTGCCCCCTGACAAACGCCCCCTCCCAGGCCAAAGAGGGCCAAGCCGAGACTGCAGAGGGGGCACAGAAACCCTCATTTGCAGCAAAATCTGGTTTGCGCCAGCTGCTAAGCCACGATCGGACAGCTTGACGCTTAAGGAGCTGGTCCAGGCTGAGCAGGTTGTGAGAATGGAGCCAATGGTGACTTCTCTGTGGCTTAGCAAAACGTGTCCAGCCCCTTAAGGCAGGGCTTTTCAATCTTTTCACCCATTGTGCCACTTTTAGGATGTGGCAACATCCGAGGACCACCCATCACCAAGTAAGGTGTCAAAAACCTGATGACCCCCCCCAAAAAGGAAAAAAGCGATGAAGTACAGGTAGTCCTCGACTTACAACAGTCAGCTTAGTGACAGTTCGAAGTTACAATGGCACTGAAAAAAGTGCCCCCCAAGCCACAGCCGAGCAAGATGCCTGCCTGCCCGCCCGGCCGTGCTCTTCCTCCTGTCCGAGGTTTTCATTGTTGTGAGCATTTCTGTTGAGGATTGGCAGCAGGGGTGGGGTGGGGGGTGTTTGGTTTTTATTTCCCTCCCCCCCCCCCCCCGTCTGCTGGGTGGTTGCAGCAGGTTTGGGTCACTTCACATGACCCTGGGACACTGTGACCGTCATAAATATGAATCAGTTGCCAAGCATCTGAATGTAAATCACAAGACCCTGGAGAGGCTGCAACATTCCAGCTGATTGGCGCTTCTTCTGGGCTCAGCAGAAGCCCCAGGATCAGTGCTGCTTTCCAGCTGATTGGCGCTTCTTCTGGGCTCAGCAGAAGCCCCAGGATCAGTGCCGCTTTCCAGCTGATTGGCGCTTCTTCTGGGCTCAGCAGAAGCCCCAGGATCAGTACTGCTTTTCAGCTGATTGGCTGGGCTCAGCAGAAGCCCCAGGATCAGTGCTGCTTTCCAGCTGATTGGCGCTTCTTCTGGGCTCAGCAGAAGCCCCAGGATCAGTGCCGCTTTCCAGCTGATTGGCGCTTCTTCTGGGCTCAGCAGAAGCCCCAGGATCAGTACTGCTTTCCAGCTGATTGGCGCTTCTTCTGGGCTCAGCAGAAGCCCCAGGATCAGTGCTGCTTTCCAACTGGAGCTTGGCACTGATCCTGGTGCTTCCACTGAGCCCTGACAGCCCTCAAGAAGCGCCAATCAGCTGGAAAGCAGCATTGATCCTGGCGCTTCCGCTGAGCCCTGACAGCCCTGCAGCTCCAGCCGTCTCTCGCTCAGGCTTGTGCGGTGCTGCCCCCGGTTCAGCTCATTCCCCTCCCGTGCTACCCCTTTTCTAGGATGGTCGTGTACCACCTGCCAAGTGCCCATGGACCACAGGGGGTACCCATACCACTGGTTGAAAAGCCCTGGACTAGAAGGAGAATCTTTTAAGTTGAAGGCTGACCACCAGGTTATTAACTGATCAACTGAAGCGATTCATTTAGCAGCGGCGGCAAAAAAGGTCGTAAAATGGGGCAAAACCCGCTTAACGACCGTCTGACAGCCACAGAAATTTGGGGCTCATTTGTGGACGTAAGTCGAGGACTACCTGTACACACATGCAGTCACCGTTTCCACTGCCCAAGGCCTCTTACTCCCCCTTGCTCCCCCCTGACCCCTCTAGGGCTCCAGTATGGGAGAGAGTCCCCTACTTGCTCCATGGCGAAGTGACTGCCTTAGGACAGTGTTTCCCAAACTTGACAATTTTAAGGCATGTGGACTTCAACTCCCAGAATTCCACAGCCAGCGTTGCTGGCTGTGGAATTCTGGGAGTTGAAGTCCACATGCCTTAAAATTGTCAAGTTTGGGAAACACTGCCTTAGGAGATGGGGAGGGGTCGTGGTTGGTTACGGCCATCCCCAAAGTCCCTGCAGGATCTCGTGAAGGGATTTCAGAAATACCTCATAGTTTATCTCTTTATTTATTTATTAATTAATAATAAGAGCCCCGATGTGGTGCACTGGCTAGAATGCAGCGTTGCAGGCAAACTCTGCGTTCCACAGCCAGCAGTTCGATCCTCTCATCGGCTCGAGGTCGACTCAGCCTTCCGCCCTTCCGAGGTCGGTAAAATGAGGACCCAGATGGTTGGGGGCAAATAGGCTGACACAGAAGATGCTGTGAAGCAGAACAGAGAGGTATATAAGCCTAAGTGCTAGTGCTAAGTGTGAAGGGAGGGAAGGAAGGAAGGAAGGAAGGAAGGAAGGAAGGAAGGAAGGAAGGAAGGAAGGAAGGAAGGAAGGAAGGAAGGAAGAAAGGAAGGCAGGCAGTGAGAGGGAGGGAGGGAGGGAGGGAGGGAGGGAGGAGCTGGGAATGAGAAGGAAGGAAGGAAGGAAGGAAGGAAGGAAGGAAGGAAGGAAGGAAGGAAGGAAGGAAGGGCAGTAAGAGGGAGGGAGGGAAGAGCTGGGAATGAGAAGGAAGGAAAGGAAGGAAGGAAGGAAGAAAGGGAGGGAGGGAAGGAAGGAAGGAAGGAAGGAAGGAAGGAAGGAAGGAAGGAAGGAAGGAAGGAAGGAAGGAAGGCAGGCAGTGAGAGGGAGGGAGGGAGGGAGGGAGGGAGGGAGGAGCTGGGAATGAGAAGGAAGGAAGGAAGGAAGGAAGGAAGGAAGAGGAAGGAAGGAAGGAAGGAAGGAAAGGGCAGTAAGAGGGAGGGAGGGAAGAGCTGGGAATGAGAAGGAAGGAAAGGAAGGAAGGAAGGAAGAAAGGGAGGGAGGGGAAGGAAGGAAGGAAGGAAGGAAGGAAGGGAAGGGCAGTGAGAGGGAGGGAGGGAAGAACTGGGAATGAGAAGGAAGGAAGGAAGGAAGGAAGGAAGGAAGGAAGGAAGGAAGGAAGGAAGGAAGGGAGGGAGGAAGGAAGGGAGGAAGGGCAGTGAGAGGGAGGGAGGGAAGAGCTGGGAATGAGAAGGAAGGAAAGGAAGGAAGGAAGGAAGAAAGGAGGGAGGGAAGGAAGGAAGGAAGGAAGGAAGGAAGGAAGGAAGGAAGGAAGGAAGGAAGGAAGGAAGGAAGGAAGGGCAGTGAGAGGGAGGGAGGGAAGAACTGGGAATGAGAAGGAAGGAAAGGAAGGAAGGAAGGAAGGAAGGAAGGAAGGAAGGAAGGAAGGGCCTTGGTGGTGCAGTGGTTAGAATGCAGCATCACAGGCTAAACTCTGCTCACTGCCAGCAGTTCGATCCTCTCACCGGCTCAAGGTTGACTCAGCCTTCTGTCCTTCCCAGGTCGGTAAAATGAGGACCCAGATGGTTGGGGGCTCATAGACTGACTCGGTAAACCGCTTAGAGAGGGCGGTGAAGCCCTCTAAAGCGGTCTATAAGTGCCCTTGCTGCTGCTATTGCTTCTCAGCCCAACCTCACCCCTCCTCTAGGTTTAATTCAACACGTGGTGCAAATGAGGCTGCAGGCCTTCGAAGAGGGCGCTTGGCCTGAACCGCCCGAAGCTCCCCAGCTGACTGACCTGGAAGTGGAGGAGCTGGAGGCCGCTGCCTCCCTGCTGATCGAGCCCTCGGGCCCGCTGGGGGCTCCTGACCAGCCCGAAGACACAGGCCAGGCCGAGCCTGCGGTGAGCCAGGCGGACGGTCCTGGTGAAGCCAAAACCTCAGAACCGCTGCAAGCGCCAAGCCAGCCAGAAGACGATCAAGGCCAAGCTGAGCAGCCAGACGGCGCTCTGGGGTCCGAGCCCCAGTGAATCTGGTGAGCCTCTGAAATAGAAATGAGCCCCTGGGGATGGGGGGGGCGGAATCCTAAAGGTCAAGACGGCGTCCACAGCCGTGCCGTTGAAGGCTCACTGCCTCCGATCAGAATAACAGCATCAACCAAAGGGAGCTTGGAGGTCTTCTAGTCCAACCCCCTGCTCAAATAGGAGTTGAAAAAAAAAAACAACAGTGCAAAGAAGAGCAACTCAGATGATTAAGGGCCTGGAGACAAAAACAAAAACAAAAAAGCCATAGGAAGAACGGATTTGACCAGTCTAGAGAAAAGAAGGACGTGGGGGGACAGGATAGCAGCCTTCCAGTATCTCAGGGGCTGCCCCAAAGAAGAGGGAGTCAAGCTATTCTGCAAAGCGCCGGAAGGCAGGACAAGAAGCAACAGGTGGAAACTAACCAAGGAGAGAAACAACCTAGAACTAAGGAGAAACTTCCTGACAGGGAGAACAATTAGCCGGTGGAACTCCTTGCCTCCAGAAGCCGTGAATGCTCCAACACTGGAAGTCTTTAAGAAATGACTGGACTTTTTAAGAAAAAGTTTTAATTCAGACTGGACACCTATCTGAAAGGGTACAGGATCTCCTGCTTGAGCAGAGGGTGGACTAGCTGACCTCCAAGGTCCCTTCCAGCTGTATTCCGATTGAAGGATGTAACCCTATCCCGTTCTAGACAAACGGCTGTCCAATCTCTCCTGACCACGTGCCGTGATAAGGAACAACACATACCTGGATGGGAATTTCCCAAATTTTGTTGGCCGGGTATTGAAGACCCCCTCCCCCCCCCACACACACACACACTCCGTCCCCATCAAATGCCCCTGGTTTCCCAGGCTCCTAGCAAATGGAGCTCTCTTTGCAGAGAAGATTGCCTCCAGTTGTATTGTCTCTGCCACATTAAAAAAGGTGTTGAGACTTTTTAAAAAAGAGTGGAGGGAAGAGCTACAAAGATAAGAGGCTGTACTATAGAAGAATGGATGCTTAAAGTATCAAATTTAGCAGAAATGGCTAAGATTTCTGCTTATTTGAAGGATCACTCACAAGAAAGATAACATTTCGGTCTGGAGAAGATGGGTAGATTATATTCAGAATAAATATGGGACTAAAAAGTTCCATCTAGACCAGTGTTTCCCAAACTTGACCATTTTAAGGCATGTGAACTTCAACTCCCAGAATTCCACAGCCAGCCATGCTGGCTGTGGAATTCTGGGAGTTGAAGTCCACATGCCTTAAAATGGTCAAGGTTGAGAAACACTGATCTAGTTTATGAGGAAATTTTAGAGTATTATTATTACTAATAGTTTATTATGGTGGAATTTGTATTAGTTTTATTAGTAGTAGTAGTATTGTTTAACAATTTGGATATTGTATTGTTTAATAATTAGGATATTATCTTGTTTATATTATTATGTTTATTTTTCATTTGTTTATCTTTATGTTAAAGGGGAGTTAAAGCGCATTATGGACTTGTTTATTTATATAGTTGGTTAATGTTAGTTAGAGTATGATTATTGTATTTGTAACGCTGTACTCAGCTCTGGGAAGTGGGGGAGGGAGAGGGGGGGTTTAGGGTGGGTGGGTTTTGGGGTGTATACTGTAACTTTTATAAAACTTTTCAATAAAAAAAAAAAAGATAAGAGGCTGGAGGCCAAAACATATGAGGAACAGTTGCAGGAATCAGGACCTGCAATCTATTGAAAAGAAGGACGAGGGGGGACATGATAGCGGTCTTCCAATATCTGAGGGGCTGCCCCAAAAAAGAGGGGGGTCAACCAATTGTGGCAAGGTTCTAATACATTTATATAAACTGTGTTAGAGATGTTGTCTATGGAGATTCTCAGTCATCCAAGTCACCGTTGTCCCAAAGATGCTTTTTCACGAGGTAACTGGACTTTCTTATTATTCTTTGAAGATGTTTCACTTCTCATCCAAAAAGCTTCTTCAGCTCTGGCTGGACGGTGGGGAAGGGAAGGATTTATACCCCTTGCAGACAGCTGGTCATTTGCCTCCTTTTAGAAGAGTGTTGAGGCCATTTGGAGGTTTATCTGTGTCCTCGGGGTCACCTGAGTGGTGCAAAGGACTGCGGAGCCCTGTTGGAACTGGGGAGAGGACTGTGTTGTAGACTGGAGATAGATGATGCTGTATCCATAAATGCTTGACACAACAGAGGAGAACCAACCCATCGGGACAAAAGTCAGCAGTCCATCTGCATTTAAAAGACAAAGGCTGCTCTTTTGAAGACAGCAAAGTCCACATTTTGGACAGAGAGGACCGGTGGCTTGAAAGAGGGGTCAAAGAGGCCATCTAGGTCAAATTTGAACAGCCCTCTCTCAACAGAGGGGGAGGGATACAACCTCATCTATCTCCAGTCTACAACACAGTCTTTTCGGCAGTTCCAAGAAGGCTCCACACCCATTTGCACCACTCAGGTGACTCTGAGGACACAGACAAACCTCCAGGTGGCCTCAACGACTTCTAAAGGAAGGCAAATGACCAGCAGTCTGCAAGGAGTATAAATCCTTCCCAACCATCCAATCAGAGCTGAAGAAGCTTCTCGGATGAGAAGCGAAACATCTTCCAAGAAAAACAAAGAAAGTCCAGTTGCCTCGTGAAAAAGTATTTTTGGGATAAGTAAGACCTTGATGGCTGAGAATCTCCATAGATGTTCTGTTATTCTGTTAGTCCGGCTCACAGCTTTGGAAAAAGAGAAAATATCTGTCTCGACCACTAGATGTCACTAGCAGCCCAGGGAAACCAAAAACGGATCTTCCAAGATCTTGCTGTTTTTTGCTATAGCTGAGGGCAGGTGTTGTAAATTAGTCTCTTCCTATAGGTGCCCAACCTGGCGCCCTCAGCAAGGCTTGATGGGTGTGACTCTCCCATGCATCTTTGGGGGAGAAGGTGTGTTAGGACTGCAATGGTTGCTATCAGCTCAAAGCACCCAAGATCTGGGATAGGAAGAAATTTCCAGCCCCTGCCCCCCAAACTGCAGATAGTTTTTAACCCACTGCTCCCATGGGGTTTGCTTAGGTCAGGAGTAGGCAAGCTTGGCTCTTTTATGACTGGTGGACTTCAACTCCCAGAATTCCTCAGCCAGCATGGGGGAACTATGGCTCCCTCATGACTGGTGGTCTTCAACTCCCAGAATTCCTCAGCCAGCATGGGGGAACTATGGCCCCCTCATGACTCGTGGACTTCAACTCCCAGAATTCCTGAGCCACCATGGGGGAACTATGGCCTCTTCATACTTGTGGACTTCAACTCCCAGAATTCCTCAGCCAGCATGGCTCAGCTTGGAAACCTCTCCCTTTCCCCTCAGCGTGGCTGGCTCAGGAATTCTGGGAGTTGAAGTCCACGAGTCATAAAAGAGCCAAGATGGCCTACCCCTGGCTTAGGTGAATCTGGGGAGCCCTCAATCTTTGGGAATGCTGTTCCTTCCCGCCCACTCCACGTCTTTCCATGCCTTGCTTAGCCACCATCATGCCCCTTACGGAACCGAGGCAAACCCAGTTTGCTCCCGGTCTAACGGACCAATTTGCACCCAGAACGAAATCGATTCTTCTCCATTGGTAAACCAGAACGAAAGCAAATTTGTGGTGCCGTTGAAGTCCTCTGAGCTCGGGGATGGGTTCAGAGACGTTTCATGACCCAACCAGGTAGCAGCATTGGTGAGAGGAACACGATCTGCACTGCGCTGATGTCACCTAGTTGAGATGTCCAGATCAGGCTGAGAGTAGAATAGAATAACAAAGTTGGAAGGACCTCCAAGGTCCCTTCCAACCTTACTACTATTACTATTACTATTACTAACCCCCTGCTCGGGCAGGAGACCATATCTCATTTCAGACAAATGGCTGTCCAGTCTCTTCTTAAAAACTTCCAGTGTTGGAGCATTCACCGCTTCTGGAGGCAGGTGGTTCCACTGGTTAATTGTTCTCACTGTCAGGAAGTTTCTCCTTAGTTCCAGGTTGCTTCTCTCCTTGATGAGTTTCCATCCGTTGCTTCTTGTCCTGCCTTCAGGGACTTTGGAGAATAGCTTGACTCCCTCTTCTTTGGGGGAGCCCCCGAGATACTGGAAGACTGCTATCATGTCCCCCCTCATCCTTCTCTTCGTTAAACTGGACATCCCCAATTCCAGCAATCTTTCCTTAGATATTTTAGCCTCCAGTCCCCTAATCGTCTTTGTTGCTGTTCTCTGTACTCTTTCTAGAGTCTCAGCATCTTTTTTACATCGTGGTGACCAAAACTAGATGCTGTATTCCAAGTGTGGCCTTACCAAGGCATTGAAGAGTGGTATTAATACTTCACGTGATCTTGATTCTATCCCTCTGTTAATGCAGCCCAGCACTGTGTTGGCCTTTTTGGCAGCTGCAGCACACTGCCGGTAACGATCAAATATTTTTGCTTATGTCTTTTCAGGAAATGGCGAAAGAAAACCCCGGCTAAACAGGCCTTTGCAAACTGGCAGATTATTGAATCTATTTTACTATGGTGGGCAAAGTAATAAATGGGAAGCTATAGGGGTTTCTCCCCGCCCCCAAATATCCATATGCTTATTAGCCCCAGCAAAATGAAGCCTGTCTCAGCTTCCTTTCAATGGTTCTCTTTTAACTCTACATGTGTCTTTATTGCAGAAAATGCTTCCTCCTCAATTTAAAACGTTTGTGGACCTAGGCCAGGGGTAGGCAACCTTGGCTCTTTTATGACTCGTGGACTTCAACTCCCAGAATTCCTGAGCCAGCACAGCTGGCTCAGGAATTCTGGGAGTTGAAGTCCACGAGTCATAAAAGAGCCAAGGTTGCCTACCCCGACCTGGATAAAACCTGATGGGTCTTATTTTGTTATTTAAGTCCATTTGGAACATGGAATAGGACGCCGGCGGAACCGCTTCCGATTTGAACAGGATTCCCGAGAAGGACAATATTCTAATAGGTTTTAAAGTTTAAAGTCGAATAGTTTTAAAGTCGCCGTTGTTTCCCCCCCCCCAAAGAGTTAACCCTAGTTCAATATAAGTTCTTTTTTTTTGTTTTTCTATTCTACTTGCTGGAGTTTCCCCGTGACAGGGAAAAACAAAAACCCTTAAGGAAATGTAGTTTGTAAATGTAGTGGTTGTTTTTTTCCCATTATAAGTCTGAATTGTTCATGACTTCAGCCGAAAAGGAATTCCTGCCTTTTGGAATTGTTCTTTTTGCTCTGGCGAAATTAATCACTAAGGAGATGAACAAGGTTAACGTTTTGTGTTTCCCTTTATCAAATGATTCGTTATCGGTTGACGGTTGCCCATGGTTACCGGTTGTATTCTTGGAGGGTTAATTATAGTTTCATCCTGTTCTGTTTCTGTTTATCTTCTAGAAGTGTGTGTGTGTGTGTGTACACACCCACGTATGAATAATAGTACAAATGTTAGGATAATACCTATTTTGCTAAGTTGTATTTTTACTGGGGACTCTGGCAAGATATTTTGTGTATTTTCTGTTTTCTTTTATAAAGAGAAATCATTGAAGAGATAAACCAAGTGACTAATGTTTATATTCCTCTGTTGTTGGCCGTACTCTGCTTTTCCGTCTCCAGAGCACCCCCCCCCTTTTTTTTTTTCAATCCAGATTTTACAAAAATCTAGACTTCCTTCTTTCCAGTTTCCCTGTGTCCTCGCCTTACGACGACGAGCCCTGAAATTTCGCTTGGTAAGCGAGAGGGTTGTTGAGGGAGTTTTGGCTGTGTTTTACGACTTTTCTCGCCACCGTGGTTAAGAGAATCCCTGCAGGGTTGTTGTTTTTCCCTGGGGTGCCAGGCCCAGAGGGACAACAGGGGTCTCTGAAGGATGGATTTTGACAGTGACATAAACACAGTCGTTTATGGATTGATTGGATTTGCGGAAGAATTCGATTCAGCACACCACCAACAACGAAACAGAAAAAAGAAAGGAAGCAGGAAAATTAAACCAACCAAGGGGTGTATATATTTTATTGATGGATAAATCAGATTTGCACGCCACCCATCTTGTCCAGAGGTGAATCTGGGCAGCTTACAAACATCAGAAATAGGTAAACACTAATAAACCATAATAATAATAATAATAATCAAGAAGAGAAGCAACCTAGAACTAAGGAAAAACTTCCTGACAGTCAGAACAATCAACCAGTGGAACTACCTGCCTCCAGAAGCGGTGAATGCTCCAACACTGGAGGTTTTCAAGAAGAGACTGGACAGCCATTTGTCTGAAATGATATAGGGTTTCCTGCCTGAGCAGTGGGTTGGACTAGATGACCTCCAAGGTCCCTTCCAACTTTATTATCATTATTATTAGTAGTAGTAGTATTGATCATCGCACAGTCAGCCAGATGTTCAGACTGGATTTGGCATTTTTGTGTCTACCTGTCGAGTCCTTAGCAAGGACCTGGGATAGGCAGATATGGATTATTATTATTATTATTATTATTATTATTATTATTATTATTATTATTCCTTTGGAGTACCTTAGTGGCTTTACGGGGGCCTGTGCCAGAGACTCACGCTGCCAGGCCAGTTCCTGGCACCCCCATGGTGCAGGGGCTTCATCAAATGTCCTCAAGCTGGAGAAAAGAAGGTAGAATAGACCAGCCACCCAAAATTGAGGGGTGGGGATTCTTGGTATTCTCTGATTTTGCTTTTTTTTTTTTCTTGGAAAACATTCCCTTACTCAAACTAGAGAGGGCTAGAAGGGGGGGGTGGAGGGTTGCAACCCACTCCCTCCTAGCGCTGATGATGTTACCTAGCTGGGCCATGAAAGGTCTGCAGGAAAACCACCCAGCTCAGAGAGCAGCGAGGAATTCACAGAAAGAGAAACTCAGATAAGCAGGGGTTAACCCCAGACAAACAAGCAAGCCATACCCTAATCCAGGAACTATCAATAGGGGGAGAAAAAACCGCTCTCCCAGCAACACTGACAGGACTTGCCACTAGTATATTATAAACAGAGAACCAACCCCCTCACTCCCTACGAGCACTGATGATGTTGCATAGTTGGGTAATGAAATGTCTGCAAGAAAACTACAAAACTCAGAGAGCAGCAGGAACCCCACTGTCCTCCTCCTTCTCCCTCTCCTCATCCTTCTCCTTCTTTCCTTTCCTCCTCCTCCACCTCCTTCTCTTTCTTTTTCTTACCTCCTTGTCCTCCTCTTTCTTTTCCTTTCCTCCTCCACCTCCTTCTCCCTCTTTTCTTTTTTCTTTTCCTTTCCTCCTCCCCCTCCCCCTCCCCTCCCTCTCCTCCTCCTCCTCCTTCTTTTCCTTTCCTCCTCCTCCTCCTTTCCTCCTCCTCCTCTTTCTTTTTCTTACCTCCTTCTCTTTCTTTTCCTTTCCTCCTCCTCCACCACCTCATTCTCCTTCTTATTTTTCTTTTTTTCCTCCTCTTCCTCCTCCTCCCTATTCATTTAACTCTGCAGCAATTTCCTTAGTGACCTTAGTGAAGAGGTCATCAAATCCAGCACAACCCGTGCAACAACAACAACTCCTTGTCTAGGCAAGGAAATTCCGTGGTCCCTATTGTGGCCGTTTCAGAGCGTGCGCAGTCTTATTGTGCAAGATAACCCAGGAGTAAACACAGTAAACAGTGGTCTATAGTAAATGGTGGTTTATCTTACACTATCCTAACAATATACATACACCAGGAACAATATACATGCACGTGCTAATACAGCAGGATACAACAAACCACATTTACAGCAGGAAACGGAAGAGAGAGAACCCATCAGCAGAGCTTTCCTTTATACAAAGTCTCTTAAAGAGACACAGACCCTGCTGAGCCATTCCCATCATTACATCTTACATTACATCAGCTGGTTAGCTATTAAATCAATACCTGGACAGGTTGTAAGTTGAGGACTACCTGTAACAGCTTCCAGAAAGATCCGTGGCCAGCGTGGCACTGTGGCCTGGTGCAGGAAAGGGAACCGACGGGGGGGGGGAGAGAGAGATGTATTTGTCAGCAGAGGAAGGAAACCTGATGAGCAAATTCGGGCCCCCAAAATGGGCTAAACAAAATGGGGTCTGGAAGAATCTCCCTCATTTCTCCCTTTTTCTATTTCAACCCCTAGCGCTTTTATTTTATCTTTCAAGAAAGAAAAAAATGAAAGATCCTCCCTCCCCCAATCCCTCCCCTAACAAAGCATAACTCACTCCTTCATTTAACAGTCATCAATCACGTTCTCCAATTAGTTTGAAGTGTGAACTTTCCCTCCCGTAACTCCTCTAATTACAACTGACCTTGGAAATGCTGTACTGAAATATTGTTATGGCTAACTATGCCCCCAGTACATACTTCCCCCCCCATTCTAACATTGTCTGACTTTAACTCTAGAAGTGATACACAGGTTAAATAAAACATGTTTGCTTCTTCATATATGTCAAGCAAGAACATCGGATGTTAGCAGCCTTGACATCTACACCCTGGATGCGTTCCAGCTTTCTCTTAACAGGAAATCAGTACTTCCTCTCTCTTAAAGCAAAGATATTTGGAGGGTGGGCAGCTAACCAGCCTTAACCCACCCACCCCCACCCCTCTGACAAAAGATTTTATGGGGGGCTTAAAACGCCTCACGTGGCTTCCTATCTCAGTAACCTCAGGACCACCAATCCCCAATGGGTCAACCATCCTGGAAGAGCCAAGTTTCTTGCAGATCCCCATGAGATTTTTTTTCGGGGGGGGGGAACTGATCAACAGAACCCCCTGTTACAGGTGTCGTGCTTAAAAATGGAAATTTTGGGCTCAGGTGTGGTCATAAATGCAGGACTACCTGCAAATAATAATGATAGAATGGAACGGAATGGTACAGAACAGGTGAGAGAAGAGGAGAGGAGAGGAGAGGAGAGGAGAGGAGAGGAGAGAAGAGAAGAGAAGAGAAGAGAAGAGGAGAGGAGAGAAGAGAATTAGAAGAATAGAATAGAATAGAATAGAATAGAATAGAATAGAATAGAATAGAATATGTGGAATAGAATAGAATAGAATAGAATAGAATAGAATAGAATATGTGGAATAGAATAGAATAGAATAGAATAGAATAGAATAGAATATGTGGAATGGAATGGAATGGAATGTAATAGAATAGAATAGAATAGAATAGAATAGAATAGAATAGAGCTGGAAGGGACCTTGGAGGTCATCTAGTCCAACCCCCTGCTCAAGCAGGAAACCCTATAATATTTCGGACCAATGGCTGTCCAGTCTCTTCTTAAAAACTTCCAGCGCTGGAGCATTCACCGCTTCTGTTGGCAGGTTGGTCCATTGGTTAATTGTTCCATGTATATTCTACATACCGTATGTTTTCTACAAAAACAAATTGTTAAAACTTTTGAGCGTTGGGTTTTCATGAACCTGGATTGGGATTTAAGAGAGGTGGCTGGGTAAATATTTAAAACAATAAGCTGGGATGCCCACAGGTGCTTGTCAGAAAAGTCAAGATAATCTTGGCAACGTAACCGATATAAAACCAGAAGAGGCATATATGTCCATCTTGTAGTGACGGACAAAGGAAGAGGGCGATGCCCATGTTGCTGCTCTACAAACTTCCTCTATGGAGGCCTGGGTAGACCAGGCAGCTGTAGTAGCTACGCTCCGGGTGGAATGGGCCGTGATATGCCTAGGAGCTTGCAGTGACTGAGTCTGGTATGCCAGAGAAATACAAGCTCTAATCCACCTGCCTATTGTGGATGAAGAAATCTTTTGTCCTAGTGACGAAGGGTGAAA